GAGAGAGAGAATCTCAAGCAGACTCCCTGCCGAGTGCAGAGCCTGAGGCAGGGCTGGATCTCACGACCCTGAGATCATGACCTGAGCTAAAATCAAGGGTCGGACACTTTAACCAACTCAGCCACCCAGAAACCCCAAAGTTTTCTTTATTGTTCGTTTTTCTGTTTTTCCTCATCACAGGGGAGTTACATCACATACAGATTTAACTCAGACACTGACTTTAGAGCTCAACCCCAAGGGAAAAAATGACTGTACTCTTAGCTGCCTATGGCACTAAAGAGCAGAGCCCAGGGATTCTTACATTGGAAAAATTTCATCTATCAGCAAACCTACCTTCCTCCCGGCTCAGAAAGCCCCAGGACACTGTTTGCTGGTGTAAGAAGTCAGGGTTTTTGTTTATCAATTAGAATACTCTTGGCTTGGATTAACAGAATGCTCAACCAAGTGGCTTAAAGAGTGAGGATTTATTTGTCTCATTTAATATGAAATCCACAGTTAGGCAGCTGGTGAAATGGTCTAGTGATTTCAGGGTTCTGGTCTTCCCCTTAGAATTTCAATATGGCTATCCCTTTCTAAGCATCATATCCCCATGCAACATCTGTCCTACAGCCACTTTTCCTGTTTTGTGTGTGTGTGTGTGTGTGTGTGTGTGTGTGTGTGTAAGACAGAGATCAAAGAGGAAAAACTTTCTCATTAACCCCATGTGTGCCTTCTCATATGTCTTATTGTCCAAGATTGGGCACATGGTGCTCTAGGTGCACAGGAGGCTGGGAAAAAAGTCTTTAGAATATTCACAGGGTAGAGTGGGAGTTAGGTTTAGGTTCCAACTGAAGAAAGAAGCTGGAGAGTGGCTGTTGGCTGGGCAATCAATAGTATCTGCATATGTGTATATATTTGCATGTGAGAGGAGGACAGAAAGCCAGATTGATTTTTTTTTCTTTTTTTTTTTCCTGGCTCGAGGCTCTTGTTCCTAGGTGAAGTTGTATGTGAACTCATAGCAGAACTTTGAATGGCCCACCACACTCGAGGTGGATGATGGCATTTGGGCTAAATTTGCCTCTGTTTCCTATGACACAATCCGAACTTTCTATTTTGTTTTAGTTTCTTAAAATCTTGGTTTTGTGGTTTCAGGTTGAGTCCAGAAATCTTCCTGAAACGCCCAGTGGTTGAAGGAAATCATTGGAGGTTGGACTGCATTCTCAAACGAAAAGCAGTATGTATTCCAAACATATGCTGATAAATTTTTTTAATGTTTATTGTCTCTGAAATGTCTTTTCTTTTTCAGAGCCCTTCATATATAAGTACAACATTTTTCTTTAGAGTTTGACCAAAGTCAAATACTCGTTTTCAAGTTTATTTGGTTCCGGGTTTTTTCCTGTTACTTTCGACTACATAAATATTTTAGCCTAATGCACAGCATGGATTATATTAGGAACTCTAATTTCTGATTTTTAATCAGTTATGGACAGTTAATTTTGTAGGCAAAAAAAAATAACAAGATTTTATTATTGAATAATAAAGGATGAAATGAAATGTAGCATTTTATTCTATTCATTATTCTGCCATTTGAGCAAAATATAAAGTCATGAGGAGAATGATTTCAATCAGATGGGGTCAAGCTAATGTAGAAGAGTATCAAAGAGGAGGGACATTAAGAACTGGTTGTTGCTTTGGTTCCAGTTTTGGGACAGTTCATGGTAAAATGGGAAATTGTTTCCTCTCCAGTTGATCCTGTAGATTCTGGGTGTATTCTTTTTGGTATAAAAAATATTTAGCAAGTATATTCTTTTTTGTTTTACCTACACACATATCTCCCTTCTTTCAATGTGTTTTCTCCATGCCTTTACTTTAAGATTTCTGAAGATGTCCATAGATACAGTAGGTACCTCACTGCTAATATTGGTGGAAAAAGAAGCTGATAAGTTTATTTCAGACATGTGTACTGCCAGACAGCATCATTTTTGTGGCTAGTCCAATTCATTGTTTCAACAGAATTCCGTTCATAAAATTGGAAATTCTGGTCCTGAAAAGCATTATTTGCATATTCCTTAAATAATTTAGCATAGTTATTGAGTGTCTCCTATGAGCCAAGTACTACACTAATTACTAGAGATACCATATGTGAATAGCATTCCATTCCTGCCCATGGAGGGCTTGCTAAAGGACTTGGTTCAGTCCTATCCTTATCAAACTTCTTTCTGTATATTGAATGAGCTGTAACTTTCTCCATGTTTCTCTCTGTAAAATGGCATCTTTCCCATCTGTCCTCAAGATTCCATTTTAGTTAAGTTGTTCCAGTCTTGCCTAGCAATTGTCAACCATACTAGCAAATCCTCTTTTCATGGTACCTATCCAACACTTTACTGCTGTAGGTTTCAATCAACATGTATTTGTTGAGTGCCTACTATGTGCAGGGCCCTTCGCTTTTTATATGGGATGTACATAAATAAAAGACATGATTCCTGGCCTGAAAGAGCTTAAAACTCTATCTACACAAGAGTCAACTGGGTACAGAGGCAGTGCCAAGATTCAAAGGCAGGAAGGAGACCATTGGGTAGCCCTAGTGGGGAAGTCCCTCGCAATATGAGGAGTTTAGGACATTTAGAATGGGCAAAACAGTTTGAAATGAAAGGAAGAGGTTTCTAGGTGTAGAATATGTGGTGAGGAAACATTCTGGAGGCAGGGAATTTGAAGGCTTTGTCAGTGACAGTAGAGTGACAAGGTTGATTATAGCTGAGTGTTAGCTTAAGTAGGATGGGGGGATCACACTGGAAAGGGAGTTGCAGCCAGACGTGGGGGCTTGTGAGCCAAGTCAGTGGTTTGGACTTTATAGAAGAAAGTGGGGAGCTGCTGGGGAACAGAGCCTGGTGGAGGAGGGCTGATCTGATCCAGATGATGTATGAGGAAGGTGAATCTGGCAGGGGGAGGAAGTGGGGAGAACTCAGGCTCAAGGAGCTAAATTCTAGCGGACTTGAGTGTGAGGTGCCTACGGGACATCTGAGTAAACTCCAGAAGGCTAATAAATGCCTGAGCAGGGCTCAGGGAGTAGATCCTGCAGGCCTGGCCCTCCATGTCATGTTAGCTCTCCTGTGTTTGCTTTCCCCTTAGGCTACTGGCCACTTGACTTTTCTATCACTAACATGGGTTTTCTTTGCTTTTATGGCCCACAAACCTTGATGAGGTCCTAGGTGAACACCATGGCCAAGTAAATATTATTGCACAAAAATGGTGCTTCCTTTCAATTTCATCTGCTTCATGAAACTTGAAATTTTTAAACTGTACATAATGATTTTAAAAATTTCCTAAGGAAATACTAACACTATTAAATATTAATTTCCTATGGTTCACTTGGCAGAATTGCTCTTCCTTAATCCAGCTACACCATGTTATTTTGGTCATAAATTTTTACCTCGCAGGTCATTGTAAATTGACATTTCTCTATCCTTATAAATACTGTTTCACTTAAATAGTTTCTGAAACCCACTACCTTCACAAAGTACTGGCTTGAAAATAACATTTATTCTTACATTAATGGGTCCCAGAGGTCCACAAGGTCCATAAAGACTTTTTCCTTCTATCTCATTGTGTAGATTTGGGGGGAGGAATTTAGTGTCTTTGCCTCATAGCCAAGATATAGGCAAACATCTCTTATAATGGCGGTTTTTAGGGAAGAAATACAATATTTTATTTCTTTGGTGATAGCCAAGTTGATATTTTTCCTATTTCTTTGGCCTTTTGATAAGCAGTGTTATCATTTAAAATAGTATAAGGCAACCTTGACTTACAGACTGATTACAACTCAAGTCAGCATCCCAGGGTTTCCCATAGGTCTTCATTTACTGCCCCTGCCCCGAGAGCTAGGTTGCATCATAGTTATGGCAACTGTATTCCTGTATCCAGTGTGTATATTTCAACCTTAGAAACCTATGATATTGCTGATGGGACCTGCACCAAAAGAATCTTCAAGTGCAGCAACCTGGAGACTTACAGAAAAGGATTTAGGTCCTCAGGTGGGATTTTGTTGTCAGGAAGTTTCTCTCTGTCCTAGACCACAGACACGAAGACACGTTCTAGAGTTGCAATCAGTGATTATTAGGAGGGAAGGATGTTCAGGGTTGTCAAATGAGACAAATAATCACCTCTTCACCCAGAAAAATCAAACAAGATCTTATCAAAGCGGTGGGCTAGAAGGGCATGTGTGGGAAGGGAAAAATGTGTCTTCAACCTTGAGAACTGTGGTTCAAATAGAACTCGTTCAAAAAAAAAAAATGGCATAGGAGCATTTGTGCTCTTTCACATTGCTTACATTTGAATGACGAGGATATGATTTCTTTTTGTCCTTTACTTTTCATTTTCCCCGAAATATCATGCCCTCTGGGGAAGTCCTTGACAAATGATAAAAGAGGACTGTCCTGGGGATGCATACGTTAAGTTATCTTGAAGCAGTGGACAAACTTGGCTGCATTTAGAAAATATTTTGACTATAGTACCTTGAATAATTAGAGGAAAAAACTGGCTCAAAAAAGTCTCTTTGACTTCAACTATAAAAAATTCTTATTTTTTTATTGTCTTTACATGTATTTTGTATATGTAAAGCTCCTAAAAATTCCTACTGTGTCTAGAATTATGTCTGCTCTACTTGATTCAAAACTAATTAGAAAAGAGGACAGAACTTCCATCTTTTAAAACTCAGGATTCATGAAGTTTATTCTGTGTTTACACCATGAAGTGTATTCTGCTAACCTCTGGGTTACATGACTTCAGCAGAGATAAGAAACATGGCATCACATAGTCCACTCAAAGCCATCCATTTTTCTACTTACCCTATTAATACTTTTCTTCTTCCTCTCTAAGAAAAAGTAACTTCCCCTAGGGTCATGAAAAAGCATTGATAAAACAATGGATGCTTCAAATGTGTATTTCTTAAATTACAGAATTAACATCAGTCCTTTTTTCTTTTCTAATTTGGGTTTCATTTTACACAAGTATTTCCCACATTTTGTGTAAGTCTGCACTATTATGACCTGGCAAATGCTGTCATTGTCCAGAAACATTTTTCCTTTGCCCTTTGTAGTTTAGAGTTTATGATAGTCTTGTAACACCTTGACCGAAAGAAGAGGAATTTATTGCTTTATGATCATAGAAATCTTGTCACTAGTTAACCGTTTATTAGGATGTGGATATAAGTAAATAATTGTAAACCAAACTACCTAAAATGAACTGTTTTCTTCAATTACTTCCTTATTAGTCCTTTGTATATAAGCTCAAAAGACTTAAAAGTGTCTACCCTGTTTCCTTTGGAGTTAATTTATTTCAAGGAGAAAAGACAAAGTATAGAAGAAAATGTCAGATGGGGCGCCTGGGTGGCTCAGTCGTTAAGCGTCTGCCTTCAGCTCAGGTCATGATCCCACTGGGATTGAGTCCCACATCGGGCTCCCCGCTCAGCAGGAAGCCTGCTTCCACTTCTCCCACAACCCCTGCTTGTGTTCCCTCTCTTGCTGTCTCTCTCTGTCAAATAAATAAATAAAATTAAAAAAAAAAGAAGAAGAAAATGTCAGGTGTTAATAGATGGAGGGTAGTAATGTAATCCATTAGTGTTAACATCTCTATTATTTCAAAAACCCATTAGTTATGCAGGTAAATAGAAAACTATAAGACTTAGGCCAGTTTCTAAATTGCAACTACTGTCCTTCAAGAATACTAATTTCATGGGGCACCTGGGTGGCTCAGTCGTTAGGCGTCTGCCTTCGGCTCAGGTCATGATGAGCCCTGCATCGGGCTCCCTGCTCTGCGGGAAGCCTGCTTCTCTCTCTCCCACTCCCCCTGCTTGTGTTCCCTGTCTTGCTGTGTCTCTCTCTGTCAAATAAATAAATAAAAAATCTTAAAAAAAAAGAATAGTAATTTCATAAGCCTGAGAAGCAGAATTTCGTCCATTTAAAACTAATTAGAAAGATATAGTATAAAGTTTAAAACCCAAAATTGCAACCTAAATTATAAAGTGTTACACCTGACATCTTGGTTCATTTATGAAAGATGTCAGGTGTAACATTTTATAATTTAGGTTGCAATTTTGAGTTTTAAACTTTATACTATATCTTTCAATGGGAGGCTCCAGTGCTGAATCCTAAAATATTCAAATAGCAGAGTAAATATGAACAGTAGAGGAAGAAAATAATGTTCTAGTTTTCATTTAAAGCTCTCCATCAGTGGTTTATTGCAGAGTCCTCAGTGGCCAAAACTGTCAGAAGTTAATCTGTTCATTTCTTGCTTACACTTTCACTTCCTATTTCTTTAATCATGTCTGTACTTACACACTTGGTTGCAATAATAGTTGCATAATTATAATTAGTAATAAGCAAGTTCCAAAAGTAAGCTGTTAACCAGAAAGAAGATGACATACATATTTTTATCCTATTTTTTTGAATCAGAATGGGTCTTATAGTACTCAAATTTCATGAATGCAGCTTAGAGCATATATATAGTATGTTCCTCCAAAAATGAATACACTTTTCACATGTTACAGAATGTTCGTATTTTGAAGTGATGTGTTCTTATAAGGATTTAGGGGCCAAAACATGCTGGCAGACCAGTATTGGGGAACTAGATATATATATATTTGGCTTACTCCAAGATTTTATACCCTGCAACCTAAAAATATTAACTCCTATGTTATTTCACATGTTCATAGCATTGCAAAAGTAATAACCAGTTCTTATAAATTAGATGTGTTCAACCCAGTTGGCTTCTTAAATTAATGACTCAGATTTCCATTATAAACTATGCCTCTGCCTAATTACCATGGATTGTTAATTTAAACTGTAACTAAATTAATCTTTGTCACTATAGTTTTATTAGATATGCCTGTATCTCTAATACTCTAGAGGGTACTGTATCATGGGAAAATTCTTGCCTTTTATCCCTAGGATATTAAGTGCCTAGGTGTAGATACATTATCCAAGGTGTATGCGGTATGTTTCAGAATGCCTTCAGAGCTGCTGGATATAGAGAATGCAAATTTAAATGTTGCAAACTGCACAGCAATATCGAGGATCCAAACCTAAAATAGTTAAAAGGTCATGCACTAAGTGAGGGTAAATAAGGTAAGAGTTTCCTGGAGGAATACATTCTGAACTGTATGTTGGTGAGGGAACCCTGTGACTGGACAGGAAGAAGAGGACCGACATTCAGGTGCGGGGCAGTTTAGTACAGGCTAAAGCCTTATGATTACCCAGAACTGGAGGAGAAAATACTATTTTTGTTTTGTTTGTTTTTTTAAGATTTTGTTTATTTGAAAGAGAGAGAGAGAGCATGAGCAGGGGGAGGGGCTGAAGGAGAAGCCGACTCCCGGATGAGCAGGGAGCCCAATGACGTGGTGCTCGATCCCAGGATCCTGAGATCATGACCTAAGCTGAAGGCAGATGCCTAACAAACTGAGCCACCCAGGCGCCCCAGTAGTTTGGTTTTTTTTAATACTACCAGCTGTTAGACATGTCTTTTTGATAGTTCATATTAATAGAAAATGTTATCTGTATAGCATGTTAAAGTTTACCAGGCACTTTTGATTTAATTTGACACTCAAGAGTGGCCTTGTGTGTCTTCTTTTAAGTCCAGGGCCTAAGGTTAGATCAATGTTGATTTTGTGCTGTTGTTAAAAATCAGGGATTTTTGCACGTTAGAGAAACTGACTTCCAAAGAAGTCATTTCACAAGCAGACATTAATGATGTAATTGTGGGTTAAGAGTATGAATCAATATATTCATCTTTGAAGATAAAGAAATTTTTTTTAACTTAAATGTTTTTTTGGTAAAGAGAAATTCTATTAAAATGCTCCAGAAACATTTAAGGGATATTTAGTATAATTTATTGCATTAGAGTTTTCTGTCACTGCTATTTCAACTAACTGAAGTATAATAAAAAGCAAAAACCCTAATCCTGTAACACGAATCAGGCCAAAACTTTCCTCAATGTTAAGTGTTTGAAAATGTTCAGAGGTGTAAGATCATCAGACACTTTTAGCAGATGAGGTTACCATTTCAGCTTTTTGGCTATAATGAATCAAATACTGATACCGTCTCTTGGTATGACAAGTCATAGGAATGGAAGGGAGATAAATTTTTATTTTTGGTATTTGTATCTTAAGATACGCTTATGTGTCACCTTCTTGTACTTTTCATTAAATATTTTATTATACTTGTTTGTAGAAGAAAGATTATAACACACAGGAAGGAAAAAGAAAAAGAAAATCATCACCTACTTCCAGAAATTCTCATTCCTCCCTGTGTTTTCTCTCGTGACAGCAACAGGGAGTGAAAGTCTTTGTAATGCTCTATAAAGAAGTGGAACTTGCCCTCGGAATCAACAGTGAATACAGCAAGAGGACTTTAATGCGTCTACACCCCAACATAAAGGTATCCGGTTCATCCTTCTGAACAGTACTTCTTCTCTATTATTCTGTAGTTTTTCAGATGTGTTTTGCTTTGAGTAGTGTAATCTGTAGAATTCTCTAATGTATATTTTGAATAAATAGCATTGTATCCTTCTTAGAAATAAAACAAAATACCTGCTTTCTTATACTTCTGGTATTGGTGGGGTTAGCAGAGTTCACATTTCTGACCCTGATCATTTAGCCAAGAACACACCTCTTAGAATTGTTTTAATATTCAGGAGCTCTGTCAAGGTCCCATGCTCCTCATTAAGATTGTTCTGGAACCTCTTAGACGTGATCTCCTTGTGACATCCCTTGATGCTGATAGCAACAGAGAGCTCCTCTAGGATTTAAGAAGCTTTTTCTTAATAGCAACTTGCATAAAAAAAAACTAATAAAGTAGATAAACACAATAAGCAGCTTGAAAAAAGCTATTTGATATTTGCCAAAGATTTAAAGCCTATCAATAGTTATTCCTCAGTCATTGAGATACATCAGAGCAATGAATTAATAAATCTCTGGCAGGCTTAAAATATATAACAATTATATATTTTATTTGGTCAAAAAAAAGATGTTCCATGTACATAGTAATCGGAAGAGAGCAGGAGTGTCTGTACTAATATCAGGTGAAATTGACTTTAAATAGGAAAAGTTTATAGTAGACAAGGATTTTATATATTAATAAAAGTTTCAAAGCAGCAAGAAGATATAGCAATTATAAACATGTACCCACCTAATAATGGCCATCAAAATATATAAAGCAAATATGGATAGAACTGAAGGGCAGAATAGACAGTTCTACAATAATAGTTGGACACTTTAATATCCCACTCTCAATAATGATTGGTACGCACATACAGTGGAATATATTTCAGTCTTAAAACGGAAGGGAATTCTGACATATGCTAAAACACAGATGAAACTTGAAGACATTATTCTACATGAAATAAGTCAGTCACAAAAAGGCAAATATTGTATGATTCTATTGATACATATATGTAAGTCAAAGTCATAGAGGCAAAGAGTAGAATGGTGTTTCCCAGGGGTTGAAGGGAGGAGGGAATGGGGGAGTTATTGTTCAATGGGTATAGAGTTTCAGTTTTGCAAAATGAAGAGTTCTGGAGATAGTGGTGATGAGTGAACAATATGAGATGTACTTAATACCACTGTACTATACATTCAAAAATGGTCAGTATGGTAAATTTTATGTTATGTGTATTTTACCACACACAAAAGAAGTAGGTTATTAAAAAAAAGTAGTCTCCAAAGTTTTTGGAATGTTTCTACTTAAAGATATACAAAAATAGGTCAGTCTGGGATCATTTAAAAAGAATTCTATTTGAAAGCAGGAGGTTAATAACTTCTCAAAATACCTTTCAAATCAAGAGCTGCCAAAGCATGTATATCCTCTATCTATACACTTGCCATTTTAATTCATTGGCTACCAAAATATCAATATACCGATCAAAACTTTTGTCAGAGATAGATGTTGGTTAAACATTTTTAGAGTTTTTTAAGTAATATCAGGTGTTACAGAATTCTTTAAAGTGGAAAAAAGAATCAGCAATTATGTTGAGCTAACTTTTGCTAAACTGTGTGGCCAAATTTCTAGCTAAATGGCAGCTACCCCAAAATGTGGTATGGGGTGGGGCTGATGGAGAGGCTTAAAAATAACTAGGAGTCTTCCTCTTCTAAATACTGAGAATGAAATTAGAACTTTGTTATATACATGGCACATTTGGTATTTGAATTATAGAAAATGTTATTCAGGGGAGAATGGCTAAAATTAACAACACAAGAAACAACAGATGTTGGCGAGGATGCAGAGAAAGGGGAACCCCCTCTTACACTGTTTTGTTTTTTTTTTTAAAGATTTTATTTTATTTTTTTTTTATTTATTCATGAGAGACAGAGAGAGAGAGAGAGAGAGAGAGGCAGAGGGAGAAGCAGGCTCCCAAGGAGCAGGGAGCCCGATGTGGGACTCGATCCCAGGACTCCGGGATCATGACCTGAGCCGAAGGCAGACGCTTAACCATCTGAGCCACCCAGGCACCCCCTCTTACACTGTTGATGGGAATGCAAACTGGTGCAGCCACTCTGGAAAACAGTATGGAGGTTCCTTAAAAAGTTAAAAATAGAACTACCCTGTGACCCTGCAACTGTACTACTAGGTACTTATCCAAAGGATACAAAAATAGTGATTCGAAGGGGCACATGCACCCCAATGTTTATAGCAGCAATGTCCACAATAGCCAAACTATGGAAAGAGCCCAAATGTCCATCGACTGATGAATAGATATAGAAGAAGTGGCACATATCTACAATGGAATATTACTCAGCCATCAAAAAGAATGAAATCTTGCCATTTGCAATGACGAGGATGGAACTAGAGGGTATTATGCTAAGCAAAATAAGTCAGAGAAAGACAAATACCATATGATTTCACTTGTGTGGAATTTAAGAAACAAAACAGATGAACACAGAGGAAGTTTTAAAAAAAAGATAAAAACAGGGAGGCAAACCATAAGAGACTCTTAACTATAGGGAACAAACTGGGGGTTGCTGAGAGGAGGTGGGTGGGGAATGGGGTAACTGGGTGATGGGCATTAAGGAGGGCGCTTGTTGTAATGAGCACTGGGTGTTATACGCAAGTGATGAATCACTAAATTCTATCCCTGAAACTAATACTACGTTGTATGTTAACTAACTTGAATTTAAATAAACTCTTGAAAGAAAACTAAAGCAAAACAGAAAAAGAAAGAGAGAGAGGGAGGGAGGAAGGAAGGAAGGGAGGAAGGAAAATGCTATTCAGGGGAGAAAACAGATCTCTTTTATTATACATGAAGGACATTTTAAAAAGTGCATTACAGGTGGGTTTTTTTTCCCCTCCCAAGGTGATGAGGCACCCCGATCATGTATCATCCAGCGTATATCTGTGGGCCCATCATGAGAAACTTGTTGTCATCGACCAGTCAGTGGCCTTTGTGGGTGGGATCGACCTGGCCTATGGAAGATGGGATGACAATGAACACAGACTCACAGACGTGGGTAGTGTGAAGCGTGTCACCGTAGGATCGTCTCTGGGTTCCTTCACAGTAAGTTTCTCCTTTATGGAACTGCATAAGAGGTACAGAGTTTGTAGAAGTATGTGTTAATAGCATGACTTACTGATTGGTTGAATGAGGAGTGGCCTATTTCTGGATGGACAGACCTGGTTTCAAATACCATCTAGCAAGTCTATAACTTTACATCTCTTGATCTCTATTTCTTTCCTCATAAGAGGAAAGAGATCCGATAGTGCATTTGCTAGCTCACAGTCAGCTCCTTTGTTTTCCATTTAAACGGAAGATTCATTTCCTATTTGGAAAAAAAAGTTCATAAACAAAAATATGTGTCAGTTGGGTTTTAAGTTAAATCAGCAGCCTTATTACAAGTACCTGCCAAGGCTTTTGAAATCTTCCTACTTAAAGACATGCAAATAGAGGCTAGGTCAGTCTGGAGTCCTGGAGGGACTTCTTTCTGAATACAGGAAGTTAATAACTTCTCAAAGTACCTTTCAAATCAGGTGCTGCCAAAATACCCATATGCCTAGATCCATATTGCAATACTTACTGTTTCAACTCTAACCGTTGCCAACATATCCATACACTTAGTAAAAATTTTGATGGGCTCCATCTTATTTTACTGCTGGATATGTTGGTGACTTTTCTGGAAAAAAAAAAAAAGATTTAGTGAATAAGTAGCCAGGAAAATAATTGACAGAAGAATCACTACTTAACATTTATCCGAGGCAGAAGTTCAGTTGCTCAACAGTGAATATAACTCATGTAAGTGTGTTTGAGATAAAAAGGTTAGCTGGTATGAAATTTCAAGAATTTGGTCTACTGAAGGAGGAACTACAATGGAATGCCGGGTATCCCTTTGCTAGCATTGAAATAGCTCACTGACCTGGGGCTGACCTCACCCATTATCGGGTGTCCGATAGAGAGCCTCCATCGTATGTGAACTTGACGCCTCAGCTCAACTGGAATGAAAGGATCGCATTGCAGCGTATCTTATGCCCTTTTTTTTTTTAATAATTTTCTCAGGCTGAAACAACAGAGTCCATGGGATCCTTGAGCCTCAAAGATAAAAATGAATCTGGTAAAAATCTGCCCTCCATGAAGAGTGCTGATGATATGGATTCAAAACTGAAAGGAGTGGGAAAGTCCAGAAAGTTCTCTAAATTTAGCCTCTACAGGCAGCTCCACAGGCACCACCTGCAGGATGCAGATAGCATCAGCAGCATTGACAGTGCCTCCAGTAAGTCTTGGTCTTTGCTAGAATGTATCTTGATGACGTTCCGTCCTTCCGCAGCTGGATACTGTGTACCAGTCTTTAAAACTGGTCTTTCTGGAATGGAGTCCTAGGAGCTATATCACCCTATTCGATATCCTGCCATTTTGTGGCTTTGTTGGCCTCATTTGGGAACAGATTTAGTGTTTTATTCACATAAGGAGTCATAACAACCACAATTCATACTTCTGGTGGTAGCTGAATGACTCAGCGTTTCTAACATAACGCCAGGTTATAAAGAAAAAAGAAAAGTTATCAGACGTCCTTCACTTTTCATAGAAGAAATCTCATTTCTCTTCCTATCCAGAAATATGTGAAGCTTTTATCTTCAAACATTAGATTTCCTACATCTTGTAAATTTGCTCTTTTCACATCTGCCTTAAAGCTCTGCATTTTCTGTTCACAGAATTTGTGACTGATTTTTTAACCTTGCCTCGTTTTAAAAATGATTGAGCCTACTTTTCAGTTTAGAAAACTTGATGTATATATATTTCTTTGTAAAAAAAAAAAAAACAAAAACAAAAACTCTCAACTTTCTCCAGGTTATTGTAATCACTGTAGAAGTCGTCAGAATTTAATCCATGGTCTAAAACCCCACCTGAAACTCTTTCACTCTTCCAGTAAGTCTGAGCAGGGGCTCGCTAGACCTGACATGGGTAAGTGATGTATGAGGCAACAGAATGTCCTCAGGTGTCCGCTTTTGCTGCATGAGCAAAGTGAGTGTGTTTCTGGACTGGCTTTCTGTTTGCACCGTGTTCACGTCCCTGGTGGTATTAGAAATTGTAATCTGATAAGCTTTTGCAAGAACAAGGTATTTGAATAAGTTAATCAGGGCCTAAAATGTGGAGGTGGAGATGAAGAGGGATTTGGCAGCGGATCACATAGAGGGATAAGTAATGATTGTAATGTATGACAACCACGGTAAAATCGTAAGCTAATTTATTGTGTGCAGACTGCCTGGGACGACCCTGAGCACTGGTGGCGCTTGGTAGTAATAGTGTTATCTCCCTTTTTACAGATGAGGAAACTCAGGGTCAGAAATGATAAGTAACCTGCACAATGGTGTTCCAGTTTATTAGCTTCCCAGAGCTCATAATTCAGATTTGTGATTTAGCAAAAACGCAGATTGCTACATCATGAGCATGTGGCTAAATTCCAAGGTCACGGTTCTAGTGTGCTACTTAGAAGACTGATGTAGAGCCCAGTTACCAGAGCTGGATGTGAGTCACTTGTGGACCCTGGTGTTTCTCAGGGGCTCTGAGGGGAATACTGAGGAGGTGGGCCCTGGACCCTCCCACCTCTATTGGTACTTGCTTCAAGCAGAGAAATCCTGCTTCCATATATATATTGAAGTTCCATGTGAATTTGTGTTAAAAAAAAAAAAAGTAGTAAGGGTCTACTATTAATAATAGAAGGAATTTAAAGAGCACAGCTCTACATTTAAATTGTGTAATGACTTAAACTTCTGTTGTCTCATAGGACTTGAAACCCGAATTAAACATAGAGTAACTCTTCATGAGAAACTGAAACTATTAACTGCTTGAGTTAATAACTTCCTTTCCTGAGGCTATAAGCTGAGTTAGCTTCTTTGTAATGTCAGTTTCACTTGAACGCAAAAAACCTTGATGGGGGTGCCTGGGTGTTATAGTCGGTTCAGCTCCGACTCTTGATTTCAGCTCAGATCATGATATCATGCTCATGGGATCAAGCCCTGCATGGAGCCCAGAGTGGGGCTCCGTGCTCAGTGTGGGGTCTGCTTGAGATTCTCTCTCTCTCCCTCTCTCTCTCTGCCCCTACCCCCTGCTCTCTCTCTTTCTCAAATAAACAGATAAATCTTTAAAAAAAAAAAAGACCATTATGAACTGGGCTCCTAGTGAACCAGTGTGGAGCATGCACACAAGATCACTATGGGTTAATTAGAAAATTCACTAAAATCAGTTCATAATGTACTGATACCATGATCATTTCTGTAGTATATATATTCAAAATGTATTTTGAATATATTTCTGTAGTATATACATTCAATATTTCTCAATATATATTTCTGTAGTATATATATTCAATTTATATTTGAATATATAATATAAATTTCTGTAGTATATATACTGTAGTATATTTCTGTAGTATATATATTCAAAATCATTTGGCCATCTTCAAGATTTTTTTCTCTCAAAATGATGTTGCAAGAGGGAGAATTTCAAGTTGCAATGGCTTTGCTTGATAACTATGTTTTTTTTAAACAGTTGAATTTTTTCCTCTTATATTCAACTGTTTGCTGATCTTACTTTTTAAGCAAGATTAAATAAATGGCTGAGAGGAGGAAATCATTTTTGCAATTTTTTTTTCATTTTTGCAATTTAGTGAGACAGTGTTTCATCCCCAGATATCTAGTCATAAGGGATAAAGAATAGTAGGCTAAATCGTTCCTAAACTCTGTTCTCCGGGATGCAATAGTATAAGATGTATAAGACTTATTTTCTCCTGTCAAAGAATTTATTATCTAATAGATAAGCATGAGTTTTAAATGTTTCACTAACCTAGTGCCTTAGTAATTCATCAGGGGGAGATACCCCAACTGGCAAGAGTTGCCAGTGAAACCTTGTCCACAAAGGTAAACTCTGATCCACAATTCTAAAATCCCAGTTTCAAAAATCAGAAGGTTTTTTTTGAAAATATAACTCATTGAGGACCCGTTTTGGAACTGGCCCTGGTTATAGGCAAAAATTCAGTAGGTAGAGCCTAAGAAGGGAGAAAAACAGGCACCCTAGGTAGATGTTGTATCTTAAGGCACATATATGGGAAATGCCAAAAGTGTTTATTTCAGCATCTCAGACGTAGGTGTGGAATGTGGTAAATACATAGAGGTCTACCATTTCTTACTCAAAATTCTAGGGGTCAGAGGTACTTCAGAAATTAGAAGATTCTGGATTTTAGAAAGGTAATGCAATACCTATACTTTATTATGTTATGCTGCTTGCAGGGTCCTGGAAATACCCTGTAAAGAAATCATTTATATTTGTTCAGCACCAGGTGGGATAAATAAAGATTACAATCTCTTGTCAGTTCAGGTCAGATTTTACTAACGAATGAGCTGTAAGAAAACATTTGAATTTTCAGAGCTTTTGGGTTTTGAAATTTTGGTTAAGGGATGCATAAATCTGTGTATAGATTGGGTTGATGGGATAGATCTGTACCTGTATATGGAGGGCCTTGAAAATCAAGCTGCGGCATTGAACTTCATCCACTAAATCCTGGGGGGTGAGAGGTCGGGGTGGGATTTGAAGAAGAGGGGCTGTGGGGGGAGGGAGGTGTTAAGGGTGGTATTTTACTAAGTTACACTAGAGGTACAGGAAGTCTGACTAGCTTGTCCCAAGAATGAAGTAAATGGAAGAAACTTTTTTCCAAAGAGAGAATCAGCAGAATTTCATTAGGATTTGGGAAGTGGCAATCGGGAGGTAGGTGGGGAAGACAGCAAAGAAAAGAGAGGAGCCAACGTAGATTTCGAGGTTTGAGCTTGAGTAACTACGAACAGAAAGCAGAAATCTCCAGGGAAGACTTGATTTTGTGAGGATAATAGTGATTTCTGTGTTAAACACTTTTAAATGCTGGTGGGACCAACTAGGTGGACGAGGCCAAGTGAGACATTGGAAGTGGCTGTACTTCTTAGAGCCAAAGGAGAAGCCAGGGCTAGAGGGGCACATTTTGGAGAAGGTCAGGGAGAACTTTGTTTGGGAGAAGGAACTAGGAAAGAAGGTCAAGAGGGGCGTTGGAGTAATGGTGTAGGGGATGCAGCCTTGGCAGGCAGGGTCTGGGCCACTCACTGATGGATGAGGATGGCAGAAAACTGGCACAAAAACCTATGCCAAAGACAAGGCAGGTGCAGTCGTGCAATCAATTGGGAGCCAGATGCAGACCAAGGAGAAGCCCTCAGATCAGCATTGCTGATGTAAAAAGCCTCTCTTCCTACTTGTAGGTGCATACGCACTTCTGAGCAGTAATCACAGTAACTAGGAGTCCTTGGCTCTATTGCTTTAATATCTCATGTGTTCCGAGGAAGACCCTGATTTATTTGGAATAACTTAGGCCAAGATTATTTAGACTGAAACTAAAAACAAATTTGAATTATGAACAGGTTGGATCCATTTAGAACCAACATAATTTTCTGAGACTAGAATTTGCTTTGTTTTGTTTTTCTTATCATAACTGATTATTAGGTGAAATTTTTAAATAAGTATATGTATGTAAATATAGAGCTTTAGCTTATATGTATATTATCTTACATATATACATTTTTTTATTTTGGAATTTGACCCATTATTTATCTCATTCTTTGTTTCTGTTTTCTTTTACTTTCTTTTTTTTTTTTTAACTACAAAGTGCCATGCTTACTGTAAAGATTTTACAGGTGAGCAAACAGATTACCAGTACTTTGGCCTTTAGTCTTAACAGAGCAGGAAAATAAATCACTGGGAGAAGTCAATAGAATTCTGTTTTTAACATTATTTAGTTTTGTTAATAATTAGCATGCTAAGGGGCGCCTGGGTGGCTCAGTTGGTTGAGCGTCCAGCTGTTGGTTTGGTCTCCGGTCATCTCAGGGTCCTGAGATGGAGCCTGGTGTCCAGCACCGAGCTCAGCACAGAGTCTGCTTGGGATTCTTTTTCCCTCTCCTTCTGCCCCTACCCCTGCTCACGTGTGTGTGAGTGCGCGCGCGTGCACATGTTCTCTCTCTCAATAAATAAATAAATAAATAAATAAATAAATAAAATGTCTCAAAGAATAATTAGCACTTTAACACATTTTTTTTTTTTTTAAGAGGTGGGGAGGGGCTGAGGGAGATGAAGAGAGAAAGAATCTTAAGCAGGCTCCACACCCAGCCCAGAGCCTGTCGTGGGGCTCCATCTCATGACCCTGAGATCATGGCCTGAGCCAAAATCAAGAGTCCAATGCTTAACCCACTGAGCCACCCGGGCGCCCCAGACACTTTTCTTTTATAGATAATTTCAGTAACCTTTGAGGGTTAATTATTCAGTTTGAGGTAGAATAGCAGCAGTGTGTGTGGTGATTGTTTAAAAACTTGCACTCTGCAAATACTGACTGATTGCCTACTGAATACCGGGAGCTACAGCAAGCCGCGAAGTGACACTCTCCAGCCCTGAGGAGTTTACAGACTGGTGGGGGGCATCCTTACGCGGTTGTGTCACAGAGTCAGAAGCCCTGGGGGGTGCAGCTGCTGATGGTTCTACAGCACTGCTAGGGGTTGCCTCTCCCTCCTGGGATCTGCGAGGTAGCGGTAGGGCAGGTAACAGCTAATGTGGCTCTGGAAGGATGTGAAGTTGAGAATGAGAGGGACGGAAGATCATTCCAGACCGAAGGAATAATGTGCCAGCTGCACGAAGACATAACAGACCATGCCTCTCCAAATACTATGAGAAATATGGTGCACCTGACTTGGAGGATAAAGGCTCTGAGAGGGAGGTTGGCACCAGTTGGGAACGAGCCTTCTGTGCACACTCAGCTTTTAGGATTTGACTCCCTGTAGGCAGCAGGTGATCTTAAAATGCTTTTAAGCCAACAGTCTGCATTTTAGAAAGACAGTTCTGGGATGTGCGGTGGTAGGGGCCCGTCCGCTCCTCTCACTGGGACGTGCTCCCATTTATTCATTCAACGAATAGTTTTGCATCCAGTGTCTTATTTGTTAAGTGCCTCTTTTGTGCCAAGTGCTGCATTTGTGATGTGTAGTTCTGCTCGTCTTCCTGCTTAGTTGCCTTTGTGGTCAACATAAATATACTAACTATTTAAGTCAAAGTATTCACCCTTTAGTAAAACGGTCCCAGCAGAGCTCTACGTGAAACGTTGCAGTGGATTGCTGCTTTTGTGCCTATGTGATCATAAGTTCTGTGTGTTGTTGTGATATTTTTTATGGATGTCATTTATGATGCTGGGAATGTAGAATGTGAGAGCCCAAAGATCTTAGATGCTATCCATCTAGGCCAAATTCTTCCTTTTATGTATAAAGAATTTCTGACCCCAGAAGATGAAGCTCAGTGTCCCTTAGTTTGACAATTCCGGGGCTGGCACAGGGGCTGCCTGCAGATTTGAGGTTCTTGCTTTTGAGTTGCAAAAGACAAGAATTATGTACTGGGTGTGCACCATATCAGTTGGGGAGAGCCAAGGCCATGATTTCTTCATGGCCTCTGCCTCTCACGTTTCTCTGCCTGACCTGGCTTTATTGCTCTTTCATTGTCCCTCCCAGTGAGTTCTTTATTCACGGTTAGCTCTGTGATCCGCTCTTCAGTCAGCTGGTAGATGGGGAGAAGAATGTTGAATTTCACTGTCAAGTGATGAGCCTGGTTACAGCCCCAACTACCTACTAGTGATAAACTTGTGTACAGTGTGAAACCCTGCTAGCCCACAGCCTCAGATGGGATGAACACATGCTGCCCTAGTTCTGTGCCTTAAGGAGAACAGTTCAGAATTCCCTGGGTGTTTAATGAGTGAGAGGTGAGCCTCCCCGCCACTCCTCCCGCCACCCCCACCCCCACCGGAGCCCACTTGAACACAGTCTCTGCTACCTTCACAGACACCAGCTCCATCCGCAGTTTGCAAACAGGCATGGGAGAGCTCCACGGGGAAACCAGGTTCTGGCATGGAAAGGACTATTGCAATTTTGTCTTCAAAGACTGGGTTCAACTGGATAAACCTTTTGCTGGTGAGTGCCATGATCATGGGTGGCTGCTTATATTTTGTTTTTTACTTGTCAGCATCTGAGAGAGTATGCATGCGCAGGATATACTTTCCTTTGTTCTGCTTTGTTTTGTTTTGAATATTTGGTAAAACTTTGGAGACTATGATTCAGTCATATACCTAAGGACTTTTCCTCATAGTTACAGTAAGAAAAGAGCATGAGATATAGCTTACTGTTTGAGACCTCCAGGTTTCATCTAGGCATATTTTGGGGGTAATAATCTGTAATTCTGCAAGAGATGGTGCCTTTCCTTTGATCCTCTCCTTTTCTGCGTATCATCTTCATCTTCCAGCATGAAAATGGCACATTTTCAGATTATCACTGTGCTTATGTATCTAAGAGAAGATAGAGATGGAACTGTATACATAGCCTGAGGTTATTTCAACAGGACACAAAAGAAAAATGTAATATTAAGTCCACAACCTTAGATAATTTACGCCAACTCGCATCTTGCCTTGCCTAGTGATTATCTCATACTAAGTGAAATGGACATATCCTGGGGGGAGGCCCATGGGGGACTGTGCGCCTCAGTGTGTATCTCTGTTTCCCTTGGCTATAAAGATATTGTTCCACACAAGCCAAGTAATATATGCGTAGTGAACATTACCACATTTCCTTTGACGGATCATGGTCGGGGTCAGTGCTGGAATCAGATGGCTCTGTCCCTGGCCAAGCACTTAGTGATGATCTGTGCCTGGGGCACCCGGGCAGATTTCATTGACAGACACTCCACTCCCCGGATGCCATGGCATGACATCGCCTCTGCAGTCCACGGGAAGGCAGCTCGTGATGTGGCCCGTCATTTCATCCAGCGCTGGAACTTCACGAAGGTACGTGGTTGACTTTATCACGATTCAGCCCACATAGAGAGAGAGAGCCTGGAAGAGGAGAAACCTAGAGGGTTGGCAAGAAGGTGCTGCGGTGACCCATCTGCTCCTGAGTGCCTGGTTGCCAGAGCGCCAGGGTCGGCGGGCAGAAGGAAAAGAAGACGTTCCTGAACTTTCCCACCACAGACAATTCAGAGCACAGAGAGATAGATGCCACTTTCGGGGCCTATTGTGATTCTTTTCACATTTTGGCTCCTCAGGGTTGGTTAAGCATCTGGTCTGTGCTGATGGTCAGCTGGAGGGCTATTGTAGGGGGGACAGGGGCCTTGTTTGGATGAGAGAGCTCGAGCTTTCAAGTCCTCCCAGTCCTGGCATTGCGCTGGGGGGTTCACACTGGTCCAAGCTTCTGGGAGGTGGCTCTGAGCAAGGGGAGCAGTGTGAGAAGATGGGGCCATTTTCCTTTTCTTCAGACTGTGTCATATACCTTCATTAAACGGGAATAACTTAAGTACCTACCACCCAGGTGGCATTAAGGTTCCATCTTCTTTACTATAAATTATGACAAGGCATTAGTCTCCTTGATAATTTGGGAAAAAATTGTTTTATCAACAGCTTAGAATCTCACCTGATTTTTCATTTACATAAGCTTTTATTTACATAAACTTTATAAATTTTTAGAAATAATGGCAATATTTTTTAAAGATTTATTTATTTTAGAGAGAGAGTGGGGGGGTTGGGGAGAGGCAGAGGGAGAGGGAGAGAGAATCTCAAGCAGACTCCCCACTGAGCACGGAGTCTGAGAAATAACGGAAATGTTTTTAATGAAAATTGAGGGAGCATGAATGAATAAATGAAGGAATACTACTTTTAACCTGTCTGTGATTGGTTTTGGGATTTCCAATGCTTATATACTCTCTTCCTGGCAGGATAAACTGGTAAACCCCAGAAAGCTTTTCAAAAAGTATCCAACCTTTAACTCAGAAAATGTTTTTTGGGTATTTAGGTTAAAGAAGTAATCTGGAGACGCCTGGGTGGCTCAGTCGGTTAAGTGTCTGCCATCGGCTCAGGTCATGATCCCAGGGTCCTGGGATCGAGTCCCTTGTCGGGCTCTCTGCTCAGCGGGGAGTCTGCTTCTCCTTCTCCCTCTGCCTGCCGCTCCCCCTGCTTGTGCTCTCTCTCTCTGGCAAGTAAATAAAAAAATAAAATCTAAGAAAGAGAAGTAATCTGATAGGTAATTTATTTTGATATTGCTTCTAATAATTCTGATAAAATGAGAAATAACTGAAATGCACATTAATAAGAATTTATTTAACAAATTATGGTTCCTTATCATTTTCTTAGGAAGTTACTAAAATAGGATATACAGTGCTATACTGCTGTGACAAGGTATCTACAACATAGTAAGAAATCAGTTTACAAAAAAAACCCATTTTTTTTGCCATTATATACCTCTATAACTCTAGATTGCATTTAAGCTTTCTTTAAAAATATAAAACAATACATGCCCACTACAAAAGCTAAAAATAAAGAAGGAGAAAAGGAGTTCTCTGCCTCCGGAAGATGGAAAGAACACAAAATAAATAATCTATTGCCTCTTCAACTAGAAACTCCACTGTTAACGTTTTTCTTTTTCTTTATCAAATGAATCTGAATTTCTTTTATAATCACAAAGTAGGGAGGAATGGAGCTATTTTCTCATCTGGATCTTTTTTTTTTTTTTTACCTGTTTTTCTTTATTTTAGATTATGAAGTCAAAATATCGATCCCTTTCTTATCCTTTCCTGCTTCCCAAATCTCAAACAACAGCCCATGAGTTGAAATATCGAGTGCCTGGGTCCGTCCATGCCAATGTACAGGTAAGGCTAGCTTTTCTTTTTCACCAAATGCCACTGAATAAAATTACTCTTACTGGATTAAATGCCTAGTACATTGGCTTCAGATTTCTCAATGAGGACAACTCCAAAGCAAATCTGAAGAGACCTTTTAAAATTGAGTATTATATTTCCTATTTAAAGTGTGTTCCATTTATCCTCTTCTTAAAACTTGTAAATATAATAAACACACAGTTTTTCTTCCTTACCACTTGTTACCTCTGTTACTCATCTTTTATTCTATTCTGCAGCGTATTCATCATTATCTTTACATGTACATCTCTTGTTTCACCTGTATTATCAATTTCTTCAGTGACACACTCATCTCTTTTATGCTTCTGTTCCTCCCACTGTAACTATCCTAGGGTCTTACACTTACACTTATCCTAGAGTAGGTGATGGATAATCTTCTTAGTTGAGTCACTTTATAACTGAAATATAAAACAGTCATTGTTAAGAAGCCTTTCCCTTATGAGAGGGTCTCACAGAAAGCATGTGTATTCTTAATCGATATAATCTTTCATGCATAAGTTGTAAAAACATCAAATGCTCAAGAAATTTTTCTTTCTTTCTTTTTTTTTTTTTTTACTTTTTGTTTGATATTATCACTGGTAGGTTGCACAATGACTCAAAAGGGTTAATCAGTCTGGAATAGCTCATCTACACTTAGAAAATATTTTTAAAAGTTTCTTTGTCCTCCATTCATAACATTTGCTATAAAGGGTCTGGTTTTAGTTTCCTCAAAAATGTATTAAGTTTACAAGTAAATTAAGGATCTTTATGTCACAAGGATTCTAATAAATGTGTTCATAATTGGAAAATGTGTAAATAAATAAATATTCTTAGGAAAGGCCAGCCAAGGAAAGGCTTGTCCTGTTATTCCTTCTGAAGTGACCCTAGCAACATGATACCCTGTGAACCAGGGATTGATACCGGGTAAGCACCAGGAATGTGGCTGAAACTTCACATCTAAGAAGCTAGTTATAGTTCAATCTAATTTTAGTTCCTAATTAGCCAAATGCCTTTTAGAGGCTCTTTTAATAGAATATGGAATTTGCTTAATGAAGTCACATAATTTTACCACATCCAGTTGAAGCATCTCAGATTACACGTAGGAAAATTAAGACCCAATGGGGCTATGAGACTTGTCAAGGGTCACCAGCTGGTTGTAGGTAGAAGTGGAGCTTGAAATCCTGCTCTAGTCCATTGTTACCTCACCTCAAATATCTTGAGGTCATCAGGGGCAGAACTAGGATGGGCAGCCTTTGACATTGCCTTTTGTTCAAGGTCATCACTATCAGCATCAAAAATACTGAGTAAGGGCGCCTGAGTGGCTCAGTTGGTTAAGCATCCGACTCTTGATTTTGCCTCGGGTCATGATCTCAGGGTTGTGAGATTGAGCCCTGCATTGGGCATGGAGCCTGCTTAAGATTCTCTCTCTCCCTCTTCCTCTGCCCCTCCCCAGCCCCCCTCTAAAAAAAAAAAAAGATTGTTTAAATAAAGATCCAGCAGTCTGATACTGATATCACTAATACAGATTTGTATAATCTGGGCATGGATTCTAGTGAAATGCCTAAATCAGTTACTTTGTACTATATACAAGTAGTATTTGTATCTAAGAAATAAAAAGACATTTCAGGCCATAGATCAAATAAGAGAACAATCAAAAGAAACCACTTGAGAGAAATACCTATAGCAAATATTTAGTTATCCCAGGCTACAGGAGACAATTAATTTAAACTTAGAGGCACAGATATATGTATGTTCATATGTAAGTTAATGAATATTTTATGAACCTATTTAATTTTATTCTACTTGGAGGGAAAAATTACCCATGCTATAAGATAAAATAGGAGCCTTCATGTTAAGAAAACAAGAGAATTTAAGATTTGAGATGGCTCAATAAGTCAATAAGTTGACTCAGTGATCAACTTATCAAAGTTAGCAGATGCGAATTAAGCATCTGTTGAAAAGGAATTTCTGGGAATTCTGTATGTTTGTGATCAGCAAAGGAATTTGTATGCTGGTGTTGCATAAACATATGTCTTCTCTTACCTGTGGGTAAAGCCCTGTTTTATATAGTAGATAGATACTCTGTATGTCCACTCTATCAAATGCCTCCCTTGAGTCACCTTCTCTGCATCACTGAATGTGGTGTTAGAGATGGGGCTGGATCTGTGATATCTCCTGATATGCTTCTATGTTCATCCTTGATATGCTTGATATGCTCGGGTGGCCTGGACTCAGGAACCTCTAGAGCCAATTGATTTGAAAGGAAGTCTACCAAGACTTCCTCATTAATTCATTTATTCAGTCAACACGTTTATTAGGTGCCATATGTTTGCACAGTGAAGTCATCAATGCATACTTGGGTGCTGAGGAAGAAGACACAAGTTCTCGGCCTCTGGAAGCCTCATTAGCTGGGGGAGAGAAAGCTGTGACGTTGAACCATTCAGTTAACAAGGGTGGGTGTGGTCCAGGACTAACTGCTAGCTTGAAAGTAGGGCCCAGCATGCTGTGAGAGTCTGGCAGTGAGATGAGAGAACTGGGTGTCTCCTGTAAGTAATAAGCCTGCGTGCTCCGTGGATGGTAGATCTGACTGCCACAGACCATTTGCTCTTGAAGAGTTGGCAGGTGAAGTTGAGACGGCTTAAGGCCAGATTGGGGATGCCCCCGAGTGCCGGCCTGGTTAATTTGGACCTGATCCTGGAGGTGTTAGTGAACTTTGGAACTTTTTTTTTTTTCCATCTAGGATGCAGCATGATATAGGAATGCTTTATGAAAATTAACCCAGATCAGAGTTTACAAACCTGGTTTTACCTGTGAAATGCTAATAGCTATGCCACAAGAAAAATTTCCATGGACAGAGAAGTTTTGGCAGATTTTCTAAGCACAGGATTTCTTAGGGCCCTTGTTATGCTGATATGTATCATGGAATCACTAAGAATGAATGTGCTGTGAGAATTTCCCAAGCCAAATGGATGGAGGGTCTCTCATTTTGTCACGCGTCTGTTTCCATCTCTCTGAATAAACACACTTGGGGGACCTAAAGGTTGTACATATAAAGAACTTAGACGAGAAAGAGAGTGAAAGCAAGGACACCAGTGGGGAGTCTGTGGTTGTAATTCTAGCATATACAGAGTTTGCGTTTGTAAATTAGTATTCTTTTTCTTGAAGAGGACTCCCCCATAATTTAAGAAGTGTTACTCGTAGTCAGGAGATGTTTTTTAGAACTGCCAAAATCACTCCAGTTGTGAAAACAGTGGGCACAGTGCCAAATTTTTGAAGTCAGGAAAGTCTGAGAGGACCAGAAACCAAAAAAAAGAAAAGAAATCAGTGTGCTTCATTTCTCCTTTTCCGTAAAGTTCTGACCACGGTGTTGTTTCACTTCACATTATTTACTGTCTCTCCATGTTATTCGTCTTGTTCTAGACATTATTGTTTTCAAGTCATGAGTGAGTAGAGCTCAGAGGCCCAAAGCAATAATCTAGCTGAATCCGTGGTTTTCCAGAGAAGCCAGAAGGGAGCGGGAGATGGAACCTGGTGTGTTGTAGGCAACTATACAGAGATCATAGGGTTGGTGGTGAGAGCTAAATTAATCCATGCAACAGCCCTTAGAAAGTGCACTAGTTTGGATTATATCCATATTAGCTTCAGTCCTCAAGCTTTCCCTAGTGTTTTCAAGAGTTTGGAACAAAGCAGTTGAAATTTTTCTGGGTGGGTCACAAGGATAGTTCTGGATACAAAATCCTTATACCATATATTTGTTGAAATGGAGAGAAAGAGCATTTGACATAATAAAGTAGAGAGTAGGTAAGATTCATGTTCTTTTGTTTGCAAAAAGGAACCCAGTGATTTAATTCTTTTAACACAAAAACATTGGGTCCAGTCATCCTTGGTAATTCCAACACCAGCTGTGATGCTCAGCTACCGCAGAAGGCTTGACACAACCAGCCAGGGCAACTAGTTAGGGAGATTAGAGCCAGGGCAGGGGGGGACAGAGGCTGCCCCCACCAACATGAATTTCTGCTACTAAAAAAAAAAAAGTCATCCGAACCTGAAAGCTGACTTCAGCAACTTGCACCAGCACTCTTAGAATATATCTCGGGTGTTTCCCCTTGGAGCTGGGCATTCTCAGAAGCCTGCCAAGAACATTTAGAGAAGACAAAGCAGGAGAAAGGCTTGGGGCTGAGGGGTGGAGGAAGGATGGCTCTGAAACCACTTACGCACAGATTGTATAAAAGTACTTATTTTCTCCCGAAAAAGAACAAACTGGGTGCCCGAATGCTATCATTGCCATGTAAGGTAAATGACCAAGACAGAGGACGTTCTGGCATGTCTATCAAGGTAAAAGACAATGCCTGATGCCAAATTAGCATCAATATGGAATCAATATAGGGAACGATCCTCTTTATTAAATTGGGCAGCTTATTGTAGAAAAGCCAGTCCTTAGACAATCATTGTTGAGAAGTCCTGCCAAATTGAGGAAAATGATTCTGCTGGAATTACGTCTTTGATCTCTCTGTCTGTTAAAAAAACAGAAGGGACGCCTGGGTGGCTTAGTCGTTAAGCGTCTGCCTTCGGCTCAGGTCATGATCCCAGGGTCCTGGGATCGAGCCCCGCATCAGGCTCCCTGCTCCGCGGGAAGCCTGCTTCTCCCTCTCCCACTCCCCCTGCTTGTGTTCCCTGTCTCGCTGTCTCTCTCTGTCAAATAAATAAATAAAATCTTTAAAAAAAAAATTAAACAGAAAAGAAACTATACAGGCGAGTGTGTGAATGACGTGCAAATTATATTAGTGGAAAAACTTGTTCCTTACACTTGGAGAAAATGGCCACATGACTCTCTGCAGGATGTCAATGTAGGAATCAGTGTAGATTTCAAAGGACCACAACATGTTTTGTGTTGTGAAAAAATAAAGTAGATAGGGAGGGGTAAAAGAAAGCCATTTAACTTCCTCTAAGGCAGTTTCCTAACATGGAGGCTGTATGCCCGTTTATGGACCAGGTCTCCATGCAGTGGCATTTCTGTGCTTGCTGCTGTGGTTCTTGGAGGGAGAAGCCCCATGAACGGGGGGTGTTCACTCCCTGCCCAGCACTGCACTAAGCTTGTTGTGGATGATCTCATTCAATATTCACCAGTCTCTCAACTGGACTCCTGTGTGACCTCTTATTTTCACAGATGAGGGAAGTAAGACTTTGGGAAGTTAAAATAGCCCAGGGAGGAACAGTGAGGCTGAGGCTGGATGCTGAGCAGTCTGTCACCAGGGCCTGAGGTGGTAACCATGAGGCAGAGGCTGTTTCTGACGAGATCTGGCTGGTTGTAACCACCAAGGGCTCCAGCAAGGCAAAGCTGCATGTCGAGATTGCCTTTTAGGATCCTCTTCTGTTGCAGCAGCTCCAAGTCCTCCCCCAACCCTCTTCTTGCTTCTTCCTGGCTCCTGAGAGCCCCCGTCTACAGCTTTCTTCCTAGGACTTCTCTCCCTGTAAGTTTTATTTTCTTCCTCTCCTTCAGCCTCAAGGTTAACTTTTCGCTATTGTTCGGGCGAAAGGATCATCCCATGTTGTGTGGTGAATGGATGACACTCAATGGACAAAGTAGTGATTAGAAGAAAGGGCTTGATAGTATGAGGTGAATTCTTGAACTAAGTCCATTTTGTCCTGCTTTTCTCCTTGGTACAGACTGGAAGAATAAGGCCCAATGGTCTGAGTGCTTCCCTTGTCTCCTGACCCGTGCCACTGATGGGCTTCTCCATGGAAGCCAACTTCTGCTTGAGAGACATATAAATGGTCCTAGCAGTCTCTGGTCCACGACTGACTGACTTGGGAGTTTAGGGAAATACAAAGAAATTAAATATGTGCTGAATTTATAGGGAAGAAAAGCATTATAGTAAGAGAAAAGTAATTTGGGACAAATACTAAGGAAGTTTTCAAAGTTTTCCTTCAAGAAGAAATTTCTGAATTTCAATTCATATATTCAAATTGGGCCCACTGTATATAAGGGAATCGGGCTTGTGGATGAAAGAGAAGGTTATCTTTCTGTCTGCCTATCTATCAATCTATCAATCAATCTATCAATCAATCAATCTATCAATCAACCTATCAGTCTATCTATTAGTCTATCAATCTATCAATCAATCTATCAATCAATCAATCTATCAATCAACCTATCAGTCTATCTATTAGTCTATCAATCTATCAATCAATCAATCTATCAATCTATCAATCAATCAACCTATCAATCTATCTATCAGTCTATCTATCTATCTATCTATCTATCTATCTATCTATCTATCTATCTATCTTTATGAAACGATTTCAACCATTCTGTACATGACTCAGTGCTCACCATGGTAAATGTGGTCACTGTCTGTCACTATACAGCATTATTACAATATCATTGACTCATTCCTCTGTACCATCTCTGTGACTTACTTATTTTACAACTGGAAGTTGGACCTCTTAATCCCCCTCACCTATTTTGCCTGAGAAGGCTATCTTCTGAGTTAAAAAATAGGACAGGGTACAAAGGAAAATGACAGGTTCCAGTTACAGTTTTGAGGCTAAAACATAAAATTAGAAAGGTGGTTTTTTTTTTATATCCTTTAAAATTGTGTATTCAGACTTGAGGTTTGAAAAGTGAGAATTAGATTTGATTCTCCGTATTCTTGGGGCAGTAAGATAAGGCCCATTTCTGCATGTGTAAGCAAGCGTTTGAGGCTTGTCTGAGTTAACAGAAATAAAACAGAAATGCAGGACAAGTTGGTCAGACCAGTTAAGAAAAAGGAGAGAGTAAATCCTAAATTTAAAACAGAAGGGAGTCAGTCACAGTGTGTTTGGCCTCTTTGGCTGTTTACAAACTTTCTAGACCATCAAGCATTTAAAGCAGTTGAGTTGATATGTATATCACTTCAGGGTCCCTCATTCCAGGGTAGAGGCAGGACCAAAGGGAAATCTGTATTTTTAGTTTTTCTTGTGGTGAGAGTTGTTGACTAATTAGAATAATAGTAAGAGTAATAGAAGAGTAATACCAAGTTTTTTTTTCTGTATTACTTGAAAGATATGTTCAAATTTAATACATAATGATGACTTTCTAAAATTAAATGAGTTTTCATTGTGAGAAAACAATAGAGTTTGGACTCAAACAATGGGAATGATAATGTTGACCCCCACCCCAGGAGGGGGCCACCTCCCACATGCTGAGGTTTAATGGGCGTCAGGCTCCCCCCATCCCCCCCCCCCACGTTGCTTATGCTCTCCTTCAGTTTCTTCTTTTGGCTTACAAATGTCCTTATTTTAAACATTTAAGTGCCTCTTTAAGGGAAACATTTACCAGTATCTTTCACAGGAAAAGATGGCAAATGCGTGACTTGCCTTTTCCTTCATGGAGCTGTCCGCCATCCATCTTCGCTTTCCTCCCCAGTGTGTCTCGTTCCAGGGAGCCTCTTTTTGGCATAGCTGCCCAGGAAACTACTTCAAACATCATGATTAGACTTGAAACCTGTTTGGCAGTCCTCATTTATATCTTCTGTTAATTAGCTTATTAAATCTTTAAATCAGGGCAAATTTGGAAAGTGAAAAAGGAAAGAAAAGTATAAGGTTTCTGGATTTGAGGGGAAGACTGAGAAGTGGCCACCAAAGGTGGTATATAAACTAAGCCTGTAAGTTTTTAGAGGTAGAAATCCTATATATCAAATATCTACTAGGTGCCCCGTAACGTAGCCCTGTGTGTTTATTATGCTGTTTGTTTCTTCACGCAGCAGCGTGGCACACACTGCGTGCGTGTGCGTATGTGTGTGTGTGGGGGTGTGGGTGAGAGAGAGAGAGATCTCAGGTGTACAGTGGCGGAAACCAAGCCTCCCTGATATTAAAATGATTTGTTGAAGGTGAAAGAGCTAGTAAGGGCCGAGCTGTAGCACAGATCTCCAGAGTTCCTATCTGTCCAGCATACTCTGCCATTTTATACATTGTCTCCAGAGTTCTGTAGAACCCGATCAGTAGATCAGTACGTGTAGCAGAGGGGAAGAACCTTTTCAAGGTAGCCTGCGTTTTCAGGGCTATGCCCCTCCACAACCAAATTCAACATAAATTTGGGAGGACTAACAACTGAAACTTTTATTTGTTCAGAACTTTGTCACTTCTACTGATAGTAATGCAGTTCCTTAGAGATGATGTGAAATCAAGATATTTTCCCAGTGTGGATCATATTTATTTAAATTTTCCTTGTGAGTTTTGAGATATTTGACTATTGCTACTCACAATTAAACTTTCCAATGGCATGTATTCATCTGATAAAATTAAATAAGTGTTTTGAGAGAAGCTATTTTGTAATAAATACCTCATACTAAAGAGTAAGATTTTGAGGATAAAATCAATGATGTTAGTAAGTACTAGTTTGAATTTCATGAGTGTTATAGATGCAAATTTTAAAGTTATTGATTAGATCAAGAATTCTATGAGATCTTTTATATATAATAGACATAAAATCAATTACATACTGGATCACTTTATAGATTCCTAATAATATGGAGCCATTCATTTTGTTTTTAATTTCGGTTGACCTCATGAGAGACAGTTTCAATATTCATTTCAAATCAAGAAGAGCAAATCTATTTTTATAGTGATTGTTTTGCAACATCATGCTATTACTTAAGGAAAATCAATTAATAAATATTTACTGAGCACCTACTGTCTGTCCACCATTGTACTGCAGTCATAGTTAGAATACTGGAAAAAGTGATGAACGGTGGTTCTTAGTTTGCAAGGCTTGTATGTCCTCTGGTGCACCGTCCCCGGCACAGCCACAGTCTCTGCTCAGCTCCGATGTGATGTGCCGTAGCTCGAATGCATCCTCTAATGTTCTCATTAGTAATAGCAAACACTTATATACCGCTTACCAGGTAGTAGGCCTCCTGCACACTTCATAGTAATTCATCTAATCCTCTCTATAACCCTATAAAATACATACGCAGTTTAATAGAACAGAAATCTGAGGCGCCAGGAGGTTGAGAAACTTGACCAAGATCGAAGCTACTGAGTGGTTGGGCTGAGCTTTGGACTAGGCAGTCCCACTAGGTATCACTGTACTTAACAGATACTCAGGTATCTGAGCTGGAAGCTCTTAATGTAATCCAGGTGGGAGCAGGTGAGTGTCTGGATAGAGGGAAGCAATATGGATGAGACAGGTGAGCAATGAGGAGGCACACCAAGAATCAGTCAGCTGATTAAAGGCAAAGCCAAGATTATATATCTAAATGAACCTATTTGTGTTTTAAAATGTATTAATCTGAACACTTCCTATTAGGGGGAAAAGGAATCAGCACATTGTCAAGTCAGAGCTAGGATGACCCTATCGTATGGTTCAAAACAGGACACTTTAGAGAGTAAGAGTGGTACTATTAACAAATTCACCAGAACAACATTCTGATGTAATTGTGGAACCATTATGGAAAAAGAATACCAATGGTCACCCTACTCATAGCCCCCAAAAGAGGTACTCTGGGATACTCTTTGTAGAAACTACACTTTATGATTTCCAGTTTTGAATGAAAATAATCCTGGGTGGATGAAGATATATTCAGGGCTTGACTTCTAACCAGGCTGCTTTCTGTGGATTATGTCCAGGGACCAGTGTCCCACCCACCTCCTCTCCTTGGGCCCACACATGACACCCAAGCCTCTGTAATCATTCACTTGTGTAGAAGAAAAAGGATTGGTTTCATTTTATGACTACATCTGGCATCATTCTCAATTGTTTGCTCATTTCTGATTGCTGCCTTGTAGTTGCTCCGCTCTGCTGCTGATTGGTCGGCTGGTATAAAGTACCATGAAGAGTCCATCCATGCTGCTTACATCCATGTGATAGAGAACAGCAAGTACTATATCTATATAGAAGTAAGTCCTGCTCATGTTATTTAGTATGACAACCTGCCTTCCCGTCCCATAAATAGCTTACAGAGACTGCAGGGTCCCCAGACTCAGGATCTGCTGCAATTAATCGGCATATGTTGAGATGTGAATTCAAGTCCCCTGAAATTTTACCTCCCCAACATACCTGACATGCACTTTGCATTTTCATTAACTCAGGACTCTAGTAGGGGTCCCCCCAGTTCTTATTATTAAAGTGTGTCAACTCACTGTAATATTATTAGCCAGAAATACCACACACGGATGAGTAAGTTTTTATTTGTCTTTAGTTGGAGGGTCTAAGTGTGAGGCGTGTGCTGTTTCAGGAGAGCACACACAAGGGTAAGTTGCTAAAGTGGAGACCACTGGATGCCACTGGTTTGGCATTATTGGAATAGGGAGCGTGCAGGGAAAGGAACATGGAAAAGGAAGATGGGAGAATATTGAGGGCAAGTACCACCTCCTTCAATCCTGTACGAATCATTGTTCATTTTAAAGCTTGGTCAGATCCCAGAGTTTGTTCGGAGAAGAGGAGAAAACCTAGGGACTCTGCATTTAGTTTGGGAACCTTAATTGAACTTCAAAGTAGATACAAAGCTAGCTCAGAGCACGTGGAAAATCCTGAAAAAAATTAGAAGGCACAATTTGTACAAATAAATCAGAGCACATCTCCCTTCTTTATTTTTGTCTTGTCTTTCTCATGGAATTTTTTTAAATGTGTGGAGGGAGATTGGTTTCCTGGAGAAAACCATCCTAGCCCTATGTTCCTCCCCCCCCCCATACAGTGACTAATCACAAAGAATGAGAGCTGTGTTTATTTCACAGGCCTGGAGAAAGAGAAGCTGATTTTAAAAATTAGCAGGCTACGTGCATTACAGTATCCTGGATGGGACTACGCAACAGAAAAAGGGCTCTGAATATCAGAGTCTGGAGCTTTGCAGTACTAATACAATTAGTATTATTAATTTCATCAGTTATACCATCACAGTAGAAGATGTTAACAGCTGCCTCATCCATTACCCAGAGTCCTTTTGCTTTATCTCTTTTTAATAGCGTTAAGTCAGCCTTTCTAATGAGTACTACCACAGTGCCAAATGAGGTCCGTAATGCCATGTGGATACACATGGCTGTGGGCACAACCCTGGTTGTTACACCTCTAGCCGAGCTAAGTGGTTGGCGTCTACCCTGCTCTGCCCAGAAAAGGAGAACAGGCTGTGACATGTGGCCAATGAGTGCTTACAGCCGCTGAGGAATGTGAAGCTTCTCTGTGATATGAATTCAGAAAAACAAACATGGTTTGGTTGCCCGAAATTTTTACTGTTTGATGCCTTAAGGGAAAACACATTCTCAAATGAGTTCCCGCAGAGTGTCTCCTGGTAAGTTTGTCTTAGGGAGGCAGTTTAAAGATTTATACTTAAGTATAAAAACATGTAAACTAGTAAAAATGATGATGTTGCAAAGGGATGAGAATCATAGTTTGAGTCATTTCTTCTATGTCTCTTTAGGATGATTAGCAAAGATTACTTTTTGATGATAGAGATGTAATTTATAATTTATAAGTGTAACTGTATTATATATATTACAGGTGTATTATAACAATTATTTATAAATTACAGGTGTATTATAACAATTTATTTAAGTATGTAATAGTGATTATATTTGTACCTAATTACTGATGTTCCTTTCTGCAGCAACTAAATCTTTTATACCATTATGATAATAACGTTGTACCTGGGTTTTTTAGGAAGAGTTTTAAACAGTGTTTTATAGGTAAATGAATAGTACAAATTACCAAAAGAAAAACATTTCTTTTTCCAGTTTATTGGTTTATGAAACATACCTCCTTAAAATAGAAGTTCAGAAATAATAAGTGACCCAAAAAATGAGACAAGGCAAAAGCAGATACTAGGAAATGATAGAGAGTGGGTGGAGAATATTAGACCAGGATTCTGCCATCTACCCTGCTAGAAAGGTAAACTTAGCATGAGACAGAAAATTTACCAGTATAGGATTTTAAATCGTGAGCATTTACACAATACATGAATACATAAACCTAGGGTCCCTACTGATTAAATTTGGAACGTTCCTACCTTTCTAAAATGTTAGCTACAAAGAAATCACATGATGAAATAATAGTGTAGCCTCCACTGGACTAAGATATGATATGTGATATTACCTAGAAATGCATGAGACCCAGGGTGAGATGAGGCTTCTTTTATTCTCAGTGTCATTTACTTTCCTAAATGACTTTAGTAATAAGAACATGTCTGCTATGTGAAATTTTTTTTTTAAACATCAGGGTAGTGTTTGTTACAGAGCACGCTTTCCATATATATCTATTACAGAGACAAGAAAGATTTACAGATGACTCTCTTTCTTGTAGAACCAGTTTTTCATAAGTTGCGCTGATGACAAAGTTGTATTCAACAAGATAGGTGATGCCATTGCTCAGAGGATACTGAAAGCTCACAGGTAACGTTTTGGCATTTGGGTAGGAGTGGTTACTGCAAATGTTCTTGCATTTACTGCTAAAAACAACTTTTGAAAGCCCGTTTTAAAATACTATCTTTTCCTAGCAGGCAGAAATTAGGTTCAGGTAGCAGTAGGTTATTGGTTCCTTCAATCTGATTTCAGTTGCTGAGAATTTTGAGTCCATTTTTGAAGCAGTCAGAATTCTTCCAGGGCATTCTTCATTTTTTCCTGGCCGGTCTCTTTCCCACGCTGATAGAGCTGTGATTAGATTCATTTAGTGGCAGACAGTGAACTGTGTTCACTTAAAAAATCAAAGCAAAATAATCATATAATTTTTCCATGGGTTATATTTAAATGCTTGTTACCCTCTGTCTTATTTCTTCAGCTCATGGGATTATTTTTTTAATAACAACGTTATTAAAATATAATTCACATACCATACAATCCAGCCACTTAAAGTGTACAATTCAGCAACTTTTAGCATATTCCCAGAGTTGTGCAACTATACCCAATCAGTTTTAGAACATTCTCATCACCCCAGAAAGAAACCCTCTATCTGTTAGCAGTCACTGTCTACTTCTCCTTATTTTATCCTCTTGCAACCACTAAACTACTTTCTTTCCCTATGGATTTGCCTAGTCTGGGCATTTCATATACATGGAATCATACAGTATGTGGTCTTTTGTGACTGACTTCTTTCACTTAATTTGACGTTTCCAAGACACATCTATGTTATAGGATGTTAACAGTATTTCATTTATATTTATTGCCAGGTAATATTCCATTTTCTGGATATACTATATTCTGTTTATCCATTCATCAGTTGGTAGATATGTGGGATGTTTCCAGTGTTTGGCTACTATGATTAATGCTGCTATAAATATTCTGTATTAGTTTCTATGCAGACATATTTTTATTACCCTAGAGGTAGAATTACAGGGTTATATGGTAATTCTATGTTTAACATTTTGAGAAGCTGCCAGAAGATTTTCAAAAACAGCTATACCATTTTACATTCCCATAGTGTATGAGGGCTCCAATTTCTCTATCATTGCCAGTACTTACTATTATCTCTCTTTTGGATTATAGCCATCCTAAGAGGTGTGAAATGATATCTCATTGTGGTTTGGATTTGAATTTCCCTCATGACTAATGATGATGGTATTTTTTTTGTTTGTTTATTGGCTATTTCATGTATTATCTCTGGAGAAATATATATTCAAATTTCTTGTCCATTTTTTAATTAGGTTGTCTTTTTATTGTTGAGTTGTAAGAGTTCTTTATATATTCTAGATACAAGTATCATCTCAGATTTATGACTTGCAAATATTTTCTCCTATTCAGGGTGTTTTCTTTTATACTTTCTTGATAATATCTTTTGAAACACAAAAGTTTTTAATTTTGATAAAGTCCAGTTTATCTGTTTTTTCTTTTATTGCTTGTGCTTTGATGCCATAGCTACAAAATCAATGCCTAATCCAAGATCAGGAAGATTTATACTTCTTTTCTCCTAAGAATTTTATAGTTTTAGTCCTTACACTTAGGTCTTTGATTCATTTTGAATCATTTCTCATACATGGTGTGAGGTAGCAGTCCCACTTCATTCCTTTACATGGGGATTTACAGTTGTTCTAACACCATTTGTTGAAAAAACTGTTCTTTCTCCACTGAGTTGTCCTGGCATCCAGACTACTTCTTTTTATGGCTGATTTTAGCTCTGTGTAAAGGCAACAAAATAAACAACACCATTACATTTTATTATTTCAATTCCTTGAACACATGCAGTGGAGAATGTTAAGTACATACACATTTGGGGATTAAAACATCGTTTTACTTCCAGTGTCACATGGCACTTAAATTTCTTTCTTTTTTTTCCATATAATATGTGGGGATTTTTAGACCTAAGAACATTTTACAATGGTAACTACCAGTATTTTATATGATCGGTAGTTTCTAGACCCTTACTGAATCTTCACAGCTACTCTTGAAAGTAGATCATATAGTCCTTGTGGTTGTTACTGTTATTATTGTCGTTTCTGTCCCCATTTGTAGAGTTAAAAGCTAAGATTCAAGAGGTGATGTGGCTTGACTCAGCCACTAAAGCAATAGGCAAAAATGGCTTTGAGCCCGAGCCTTTGGACTTCCAACCCAGTGCCTCTCCCCATACCACATAACTTCAGTCCATTGACAGGTAGGTTTTAAGACCCCTTCAGGGTTGCCACAATTTGAGGCAAGTGGGTTGGGCCTTTGTTGTCCCCTCCTCCCATTAACCAGTCATCAGGTACAGGCTGACTTGAGGAAATGAGCATGACCTTGGGTGAGGGCAAGGAGGGCAAATCCTGGAGAAGGACTTCACTGTGAGTAGTCAGCAGCCAACACTCTCAGTGGAAGGGAATGGCTCTCTTGAGCCCATGGTGAGGGCATTTAGGCAGCACATCACAGTACCCACCACATCCTGCAAGGTGTACAGTAGATCTTGCCCTTTACTACACATCAAAATCACCATTGGACTTTTTTTTTAAAGATTTATTTATTATTTTAGAGAGAGAGAGAGAGTGCAGGAGGGTGGGGGGAAGGGCAGAGGGAGAGAGAGAGAATCTTAAGCAGACTCCATGCCCAGTGTGGAGCCTGACGCAGAGCTCGATCCCATGACCCTGAGATCAGGACATGAGTCGAAATCAAAGACGCTTAACTAAATGAGCCACCCAGGTACCCCTCACTGCTGGACTTTTACAAAAATCCAGAGAGCTGGACTCAATCCAGACTTGCTGAGTCAGAATTTCCTGGAGTGGGGCCCAGGCACTTGTGTTTCATAATGGTCCACGGGTAACTCCAGGGCACAGCCAAGACTGCTTAGTACTCAAGGAGAACAGCACTGCTTAGTACTCACAGAGAAGAGCACGCATGGCCCTAAGTATTAATGACGATCTGTGCTTTTCCAGATGACCTCTATCTTTTGCCTTCTCTCATACTTTTTTCAAGAAAGTTACCATGGGATCTGTTTCTGAGATGACTTATAAACAGCCTTGTTTACAGTTAAACATAACACATACACGCAAAGATTTCTTGCATCATGCTGGTCTCTTAATTCTGTGGGTCAATTTATGTCTAATTTACAAAATTAAATTATCTTTCTGTCAACTCTTGCATTTCATTGATGCAGGAGTATCCACTTTATCTATAAAGCACATTTGACAAAAGAGAAAAATATTTTTTTCATGAAATTGAAATGAGTTGCTGAAATCCATTAAGTGGACAGATGAGCTCACTGGGCTGAGCGGCGAATGATGAATATTGTAACCGTGATCAGCCAATAAGGAGAGTAGGATGAATCTTAGCTTCACTCATTCAAGTTATTAGTTCCCTGTAGTACGTATATTAATAAGTACCTGTAAGATTTGTTTTTAAAGGGTTTGGGATACTGAAAGAACATTTTTCCTTAGCATATTGTCTTTTAAAATCTGGACTTCTTCTGAAATCATAGTATTTTAGGGCTGGAAGGAACTTTAAGATCCTGTGAGCTGCTCCTAAAAGGAAAGGGGGTCTATGGTGAGAGAGCACGGGAGGGTAGCATCTGCTACAGCCTGTGTCTCACACTTGGAAGTTCACAAGGCACATTAAAGATGCAATTTCAAGCCTACTTTGTAGAAAATGGGAAATGAGTCCATTGAATTTCAAATTAACCGTGTTATTTAGCTCTGATCTCCCCATCGTCTCCCTTTCTTTGACAATCACATTTCAGAGGGTACGTATTATCACACATAAAACTTTTCATGGATACACACATGTATCCTGGAAATATATTTTACATTTTCCCCCTTCTCTGTAGCCCCGCATTATTGTTCATCTCCTGTGTTCATCGTAATGGTAAAATATGTTTTCATTTAATAATTTAGGATAATCTTAGGAATAATTTAATAATCTTAGGAAAGGAGCGGTGGGATTCAAGAACTCATCTTGCAGCCTGCCTGCGATGCTCGCCACCCCCCTTTCACTGAGGGCCACTGTGTGCCGTGCCCAAGTTCACCCCCTCTCTTCCTTCATTGACTCCTCTGTGCTCCACTCTTCTGAGACTCAGAACTTCCTGCCAATGTCACATGCCTAGCAACAAGTATAATTTTGGCTGTTGGAAAAAGAATAGAATCTAGCACAAAGCAGACGGAGGGAAATGACAGTCAGCATTCAGCCAGGCCTGACCAAGGAACACAGGCTCTCTTCCAGGTCCCTCCCACCCTGGAGAGATCAGAGTCTTTTAATTGCCAACTCCTTCGACCGGGCTGAGACTTTATTTTTCTGCCAGTGCTGGAATCCAGGGAACACCAGTTCTCTGCTTTCCTCACTTCCTCCTGGTTCCTTCTCAACAGCTATAATGCTTTGCAGAAACAGGTTTTTGCAAAGACTTCATGCTCTGATCCATGACCCAGAGCCTCAGAACATTGTTCATCCCGTGGCGAACCAAGAGTAGCTGTGGGAATCTCTGCAGAAAACAGAAGGAAATAGGAAATAAGGAAAACTGTCCTGGAGGTGAGACTGGCTCCCAACCCACTGGAAGCCCGTCTTTGACAACTCAAATCTGACTGCAGATCAGGGAGAAGAAATCATCTGGTTTATACCATGTTTGACTAAGCCAAGAGAAAGAGAACCAACTGATCCAGGTAGAAATTTTAAAACATAGTGTGCCATGAATAAATGATTTCTGAGGTTGAAACAGTTCTGCTTCTGGAAACTTGACATGCACAATTCTGCTGCCTTGGTAAACAGGAAGTAAGAGAGTCCATTTGGTATTGTTATCAACAGAGTTGACACATACAATGAAAACAGGCTGTCGGTTTAATGCCTCCATATTTTAATATTAAACTACATTGAAAAATACACAATTTTGAAAATTGCCCAAATTCTTCCTGCTTCCTATAACTGTAGAACAGTGCCAGACAGTGCTTGCAGTTTGCCTAGGAGTGGGTGGCATGGGGAATACTCCCCTGGGGAATCTGGAATTGTTT